TTCGCTTTCGTTGTTTTTGTTGGGTGGGAGAAAGTCTAGCAACAACGCACGTTCAACATGGCGCCGGGATTGCTTCGGCAGCTTCGGTTTGACCCCGTTTGACGCGGTTTACGAGCACATGTAGCGAAGACGTGACCGGAGAAGGTGCCCCTGTGATGGTCCCGGAAGACGAAAAGTGTCATTCGTAATCGTCGGGTGTGCTTTGAAAGCGAAGAATCAGGGTCCACGAGTGCGCAACCACAAGCCAAGGTTCACGACAGCGCTCCGTTGACTTCGGCGATCTCGTTCTGTTTGGTGCATAGAGATAGGTTTGGTGCAACACGGCGATGCGACAAAGAGTTGAAACGTTCGTGGTGTGTGGTGCGGTGCATGGAGGTAGAAGCCCATACTAACACTAAGCGCAAATTGGTTATTGTGGGGTTGAAATTCAACAGGTTCAGTCTCGTCGTCGTCAGCTGATCCGGTCCAGCTGGCCCGGGAGGACGCAGCGAGCTCTTTTAAAAGAATCTTCCTTCGTTCCGTTTTAAAATGTGGAAAATTCTCGACGCATACCGTGAGTAAAAAGCTGCGGGCGTTTTCAACAATATTATGTCGTTTTAATTGAACAATGGACTCCAGATTCTTGTCCTAGACCTGCCGTTTTTGTTCTTCGTGTTATTGGCGTTTGCACAGCGACGCACACCGCCCGAGTAGATGATTCGGTCCTGCAAACGACCGGTCATACAAAACTTCAGGAAAACTTAAGTCACTACCAATATTTTCTTGTAAATTTCGTGTGAGTTTGTCGCGCTCGTCATGCGGTGTGAATAAATTAGGGCAAAGTTTCCTACCTGCCTGCGGATGCATGAACTGAGACCATTTTTTACGTAGTGAACATAGCGTTTTATTTTTTACTTTGGAAAGAGGTGTTGGGGAATTTGTCATGGTACAATCACTTGAGAGCTCAGAAATCGGAGAGAGCGAGCATGCTTTCCCAACTTTGTCTCTTTTCTCTCTGGCATTGCCCCTAGTTTCTAGTTGCAGTTTCAGTAGTCATATATGTCTACAGGTACAAACTAGCAGTTTGTACCTGCTAGTAGGTATACCTACTAGCAGGTACAAACTGCTCTAAAGCAGGTAAAAGACTGGTAAGCCAGGCGGTGCGGACTCCGTGTTTCGCGCTTTTCGCAAGGTGACTGGGTGAGTGCTTTTGCGAGGTATGCAGAATACGCAAACGATTTTGTTATGCCCGTCGGCTGCGTCTCTCCAGCAAAGCGAATAAGATGATCTACAAAGGCGCAATCACAAGCCAACATTTACGATAACAGTGCATTTGATTCGGTGGTCCGTGTACTTGTATTTCACCCTGCTTTCTGCAACGCCGTGTCATGGCGAAGAGCTGGAACGTTCACGGATTGTGCTGGGCTACCGGTTGACCCAGGGGCAAATCCAGAACTCCGTTTTCTTTTTTTTTTTGTTTGTTTGTTGTTGTTTTTTTGGGGGGGAGGGAAAATCTCAAGCAAGATGAACAGGACTCCGGTTGCGCCTTTTGTTTTAACCGCCGCAGAACCACACTGCGCCGACGGCCCCTAGATGTGCGCCGCTGCGCCGACTTTTGGTTCTAAGCCGTGCTTCCAAAACCGCCGCCGCTGTCTTCAGTCTCGGTTGAAGCGACGGAGTGGTTCTCCAAGTTCAGAGTACAAGTGTGCCTGCTAGGGTGCGACCTACTCTATTTCGAACCCTCGTCCTTGAGTACCGAGCCTTCTACCACCTGGCAGGCCGGTAGTTGGTTTTATTTCGGGGGATCCACCCATGTCAAATCGGCCTTCGAGAAGGAGGCAGGGGGGGAGAGGGTGTCGACTGTTTGGAGGGAGGGCGGCCGTCTCCGTCGCCCCCCCCCCCCCTCCCCCCCTCTTGGGTCCGCCCCTGGGTTGACAGAAGCCCGCGTCGCCCGCATCGGCATTGAGTGGACTTGGGCTGTTGAAGTGGCTCTAGGCTCTTGATGCTCAAGCCTTTCATCCGCGGCTTGCCGCCAGCTGACCCGGCTGTTCGACGGTGAGGAAGCGGCGAGAGTTACCTGTGAAGTAAATGTAAATCCTTGTTCATCCAGTTATCCGGTGTCAAAGTGTGGAAGGTGTCCAACGTGTATTGAGGGCGGGAACTACGAGCGTTTTGCCTTGCTTTCGTAATCGAAACCAGAACAGCGAGGTAACTGCCTTCCGTACTCGAAAATGATGGAAGCAATAAGTCGTCAAAAACCCGTTTTCAGGGTTTCAAACCAAGTAAGCAAGACAAATATAATTATATTTATATTTGCCTTGTTTGTCTGTATACAGGATGACTTATGTAACACAACAATACATTCTTTTTTCCAAAACGAAAAAGAAAGTAAAACTCAGTCCGCCGTATATAGCAGCAACTTCTCCACTGCAAAACCTATGCTGGCAACATAAGCGGTTTTAATATGGCAGCCTCCGCTTTGCACCGCGTTCCCTTTCCATCCTTGCCCCCCCCCCCCCCCCCCCCTGGAAACGAACGAACCACTAGTCTGTATAACAATTGCTGTATCGCACATCCCCGCTTGCTCGCTGCAGCACGTGTGCGGCCACCGAACGGCCTTCTTGCATGTCGAAAAATTGCGTTTTTGGAACGTGGCCGAGGCTGGCGGAAGCGAGCTGAAGAAATGTTTTCTACTCGTTCGTCGTCATTTGCCAAAGAAGTTCTTTAAAACTCTGTGTAAGCCGTGAAACTTGCCGTTGAGAAAACGTGGAAATTTTTACAGCAGCAGAGTGCCACAAGAAAAAGGCACAACTTGTCGAAAGCAAGTTTCGCCGGTCTAGCGACGTGATCAAAGCTCCCCTGGCCCGCAGAAGCGCTGTGTCACTGTGCCTTCGCATGCTCGGATAACGATCAAGAATCGACAACGTGTAAATGTGTTTGCGAGTGCAATGTGTGTGAAGCATATGTGCTTCTGGAGCAGCGTTTTACTTTACTTCGACAACTGTATTTGAATCTTCCGGCACTCGCGGTCCAGAAAGAGCTTGATCAGTGTCCAGTGACAACGAAAGAGGGTGGAAGGTACACATCACGACACTGTTAGCGCGAACACTACATGGCGCATTTTACTTCTAAATAGTATTAGCGAGCACGAAATGTTTTCGCTTACATTATATGAGCTCTTTCCGTAGCAATAATAACTTGGATGACATCCCTTGGTTTCAAAAAGAAAAACTGGAAAAACCAGCGATCACTTGTTCGCACTAACAGTGTCGCACTCAGTACGTTTTTTTTTCGTCGTTAGACGGTTTACAGAATATTGTGCACAACAGCTCCTCATCACTGATCAGTGCTGACTCATTATAAACCTACTCTATTGCACTTGAAGCTTGAGCGCGACTCGCCTGATTGTGATTGGCCGAGGGACTGCACACGACCGTATGTATCGCGCTTCAAAAAATTTTAATTCTCGCTGTCTTGTAGCTTTGCCTTCGAAAACACTGCTTGCTCCACAGCGTTGCTCTATTTGTGCTGCCATGTGATCCATTAAAGTAGATATAGTACATGGTTAATAGTGCATAAGCGCAACCGTACATATTGTTTTCCCCTTTATTGATAGCAACTCGCCGGAACAGATGGACGATCCAGAACTCCGTGGCCGATATATGGTACAAAAACATCTACGCGCGACACACCTACAAAACTTTGCCGCGGCGCCGATTCTTGATCGGTATCCAAGCGCGCGAAGGCAGAGAGACGCAGCGCTTCGGCGTGCCAAGGAAGCTTTGATCACGCCGCGGTAAACTTGATTTCGACGAGTTGTGCCTTTTTCCTGCGGCACTGCGCTTCCGTAGAGCTTTTCACGTGTTCTCAACGGCAAGTCTCACGGCTTACATAGGGTTTTAAATAATTTCTTTGGCGAAGGCCGACGAACGAGTAGAACACGCATCTTCAGCACGCTGCCGCCATCCTCCGCAACGCTCCAAAAACGCAATTTTTCGACATCTAACATCGCCGTCCGGTGACCGCATTCGCGGAGCGGGGATGCGCGATGTGAAACGAACACACTGCCTAAGACAAGAGCTTATATATATATATATTAAAGGAAACAGGACATGCTACATACTCTCTTAAATTTCAGCACGCGAGAGCGCCCATTATAATTATTCAACGAGCGCTGTTCAGTGTTTTTGATTTCTTCCGTTCTTCTTACGGCGCCCGAAAGCGAAAAGGTGCGAACAGGAAGTGTTCGGAAGAAAGCAGAGCAAACCAAACTCCCATGGCAATGAGCCCTTGTCCCGCACACGTCAATCAAGTCGAGGCTGATGCGAGGATGGGTTGCCCTCGTGCAACTGAGTGGGGAAAGCGGAAGCAACAAGGTTGAGCGCGTTTTTTTACACAAAACGCGCTATCGCGTTAAGTTACACGTCTTTCATTCCTTCTGCACTTCGACTATCTCTCGGGGCGCATGCGAAAATGAGCGACTTACCTTTTAAGTGCGGTTGAATGGTGACAGGTGATCGCAGCGACAGCCTCACCGCCTGTGGTGGTTCCCGCGCGAGCGAGCCTACGCAGCGGTGCCGACGGCAGTGATGACAACTATTTTTCGCGAGAAACCCTACGCTCACCCTTAATAATCCCTACATGCCCTACATCAGACACGAAAAGTCCCCGCATTTGTACCCTACGCAGAAAAAAAAGAAAACTTACGCGAAAACGCGCCGCAGGTCTCAAGCAGACGAATACAAAATGTTCAGGAAAAGTTGTTTAATAAAAAAAGTAATAGAACACGTGAAAATAAGCTAGGAATGCTTATAATGTGCATGACATAAATTATGGGATAAATTATACACAGACCAAGTGCACATAAAAGGAACACAAACTGAGAAATAATAAGTGGGGGCAAATGCTGCTCTTCATGCAGTTTTTTGTTTTTTTTCCAAGCTTGAAGAGTTTGACGTTACTGAAACTCAGTAAAAAATCTAGTCGTACATGTCCTTTTTAAACAACTTCATGTGCTTTTCCTACACTTTCATGTCCTTGCATGCCGTTCCTTTTGATGCCATGGCCGATTTCACGATCAACACAGCATTAATACTGCTCGGTCCCAGCTTGTTTCTTTTGGTTTTGACATCGCTCATCATGAAAAAGATTCTCTCCGTGTCCGCATTTGAGTGTGGCAGCGAAAGTATTAATTTTGCCAGAGTTGAGATGTCGGCGAACTCTTGCTTGCCATCAAAAGTCTGCAGCTTGGAGATGTCGCACCAAAACGCAGCTGAGGTCTTCGTCACGAGTTCTTTCTTCTTGTCCTCAGGGAAGTGGGCCGGAAGCATCCTCCACTCCTGTTGCACAGCCTCAGGGCAAGGTAACAGGTGCTTGTACCGCTCCTGCAGTAGAAGAAGCGCAGGCAGTTTTCGCCGAGCTTCGTAGCTCAGTGCCGTGGCAGGGCGGACGAAAGCAACATCTGTGAAGAATGGCGCAAATATTGGAAGTCGTTTTTGCACCTCAACCACAGCAGTCTGGTAAAACGATAAACAACGGAGCCTCAAGTTGTGCGCCTCCGATGGCTCCGTCGCTTGAAAGCCGTTTAGCACCTTTTTGCATTTCTCTCCCAGATAGACCTCCTCTAATGGTAGTAGTATACGAGGGTCCATAGGCTTGATGCTCGCCAAGTTCTGAAGTGCCTCTGGCTTGATGAAGTTTTGACGGAGACAACGAAGGAGGCGTTGGCTTTCTTCCTGTAGAATTCCGATCAAATTCTTCTTGCTCTGAAAGAGAGCATTCAGTTTGTTAAAAAGAGGAAGAACATACTCCAAGAACTGGAGGTATGCCTCGGTTACTGCAGTCATCGAGTTCTGGATATGCTCTGAAACCATAATCATGTCTTCAACTGATGCTTGCAGGAAATGCAGCCGCAGGGTCTCCCACTCCTGGAGGATGCGCTCCACGCACTGATGCAACGCAAGCCACCTCGTCTCGCTTGGACGTAGAATTTTACGCTTTTCTCCAGACATGTACTCCTGGAGCTCGGCCAGCTGGGATTGACGCTTGGAGCTGTGTCCAAAATAGCTGGCAATGTTGCGCGGAAGGTCTTCCAGATACCTCAGAAGCTGCATTGCGGCTCTGCTTGCAGCAATGTGGAGAGAGTGACAGATGCACTTGATAGTAACAAAGCTCTCATCAGCCTGCTCTCGGAGCCTCGTCATTACTGAGTTGCGTTCTCCGACCATGACACTGGCATTATCGCAAGCCAATTCGATTATGTTCGACGTTGGAATATTCTTGTCAGAAAGGCAGCGCACGACAGCAGCAGCTAAAGATTCTGAGGTGCAACTTGTGGCGTCCAGGGGAATTGCTTCAACGAGCTGCGTGACAACGCCGGCCCTCGCGTCGTCAAAGTACCGCACAACAAAGCACAGGAACTTGAGACTAGAAATATCTGTGCCCTCGTCCAGAAAAATGGAGAACTCCTTCTCTTTCAGAACTTCAGAAAGGCACTGAACCTCCACTTACGCCAGCGCATTCTTCACAATCGCAGTGCATTTCGTTCTGTGATCCTGTACATTTTTCGCAATCTCAGAGTCTAGAAAACACGTTTTCATTAGATCGCCGAGATGATCCATGGCTTTGAAATAAAGCGAGTGTTCGGCTATCAATGCCGACATTCGTATCTCCGCTGCCTTTACACTCCGCTCAAGGTTTTCCTTTTTTTTTTTACGATAAAACCACTCAAAAGCGGCTGCTTTTGGTAGCTTTCAACAGCACTCTTATGAGCGTCTCTTTCGGAGTGCTTCCGCAGTTCGCTGTGCCCCGCAGCCAAATTCGCGTTGGATACCTTGCACACCGCTCGAAACGGATCGCCTGGAACAGCAGTGAGCCAGTCCTTGATTTGTGCTTCCTGCTGCCATGCTTCCCGAAACCGTTGTTTGCGTGGAGCTTCTTTTTCTTTTCGGGGCAGTTCACCTCTCGCTCGTAGCTATTTTTTTTTTTTACGTCGACGCCGATGTGCCTTCACCGGCATCGCTATCAGAGTCAGATATTTCGGAAAGTTTGCCACTGCCGTAAAGTTTGGCGGACTTTTGACAAGACAAATAGACCCGAGGAACAAGACACGGAGCAGCTCGAGCGTTCAAAGTTCAAACGGTTTCAAATCGCCGCCAACGAACAAGCCTGAGCGCGTTCAAATCTGACTCAAATAGATCCGTGTTACACCGCCACGTTGTGTCACGTGACAACACAACTAGAGCAACGCTGTACGCGGGTAGGTTTTCGGACGCCAAGGTACAAAACCCTTACCCTGGAGTAAGATCGAGTCAATTTTGGAACACGGCACATTGCTGCCCTGCTCCCCTTGCGCCGAGAATGACGCAAGATAAGTCGAGAATAGACTAGCTGACGAAAAGGGCGAAGTGGATTGTAGCCGTACGGAGACGCAGGACTTTTAGCAACATTAGCAACAATAAACATGACGGCAAAAAAAAAAAAGCACACGCTCTTGCTAACAAAAAGTCCCTACGCCGCCATGGAACCTAGACAGGCCGTCCCTACGTCCCCACAAAGCACTTTTCAACACCAAATGTCCCTACGCGTAAAGACAAATCCCTGCGGTTGGCATCACTGGCCGACGGTGCGGCCAGTAAACATCACGTGACGGACGTCTTCGTCCGCGGGCTGAGTGCGCCGACTTTCGGGTGGGTCTCCCTCCGCCGCTCCGATGGCGAAATGCCCCAAAGCAAAGACATCTCGCCTCGATTGCGCTTTGCCGCGCGTGCCTCTCAAGGCTTTCTTCTCCTTTTTTCTCTTTTTTATTTTTTTTTACAGTGCGTGTGTTGTGCGGGCTGGACTCCGTCACACCGTCATCAGAATCATTTTTTTTTTTATTATCCGAAACGATTGAAACCGATGCCGTGACATTACCCTCAAAATTCGAAACTTGGGAATTCAGTATTTCTGAATTAAAAAAAAAAAAAAAGAAAAAACAATTTCCTAATGCCGAATTTGAAGTTCCCGCGTGATCCGCGCCAGTGCAGTGAGTCAAATTTTTCGGTCTCCTCCGACTTGACTTTCTTCGGGACCTCCGTTGGTACCGCGACCCGATGCGAAGAGGAGGTGACGAGGCGGGATAGAAGGGCGCCGGCACGGGAAAAATCCGGTTTCTTCCCCGACTCGCCGATGATCCTCTGCTCGAGCGCCGCCAAGTTTTCCGAGGGGGGATACAAGATACAAATCCAGGAAGCGACATCACACCGAAATCTGATTTTTGGTATTTCAAAAAGAGGGGCCGTAGTGCGTTTGCAATTGCGTTAAAAAACATGTTTTACGATTGCCGTTATTAAATGTTATAAAAATGTCGCCTACAAAGCTTCTAAATTTTCTTATTTTTGACGTCACCGATCAAAAGAAGCAATAAGGTGAGCGCGGGAAATATAAACGCCAAAAATAAAAAGGCGCGCGCGCGCGCGGGAACATTTTTTTTCGCGATGCGTTTGTTTTTTGCGTGTCTTTGACTATAACTTTCATCGTTTTAGACAATAAAAAATAATACGACCTTTGGGGTGTCAGTGCCCCTTGAAAGTGTAGAGGAAGCTAGGGGGTGCCCGGTGAACTAATCGCGCGTCTGTCTTTAATCACGTGACCACGTTCCCTCCCGTAACCAGGCGCAGAGAGCGGGGCAGGTGATAACTGGTCCGGGCGGGCGCTTAGCTCGCCGCCCGCACTGTCAGCTTAGGAATGAAGGGAGTCCTCCCTCAAAGACGCCGAGTCCTCTTCGCTCACAAGAGAAGAGATTTGGAAAAATTAGCAGTGTTGTACACGTCCTCAAAAAGAGGAACGGAAGCTCGTTCCTCGTTCCTCTTGATTTTTGGAACGCGTTCCCGTTACAAGTTCCATCTCCGAGAAAGGAACTCGTTCCCTTTACAGTTTAAAAAATGAAACGTATCTTTACATATGCGTTACATATTCAACTTACATTTGTATCTTGCTAATTACCATATTTACTTAGATCAAACTAAATTTTTTTTATCTATCCTATCAAATAGCAACATACGAATTTGAACGCCTTGATAGTAGGGCACCAGAAGAAGAGAACAAGCGAAAGCAAGGTTTCATTTGTTGATATATTCACTTCTAAAAATCTCAGCGTTTTGCCAAATTCATGTTTGTGGTGGGCTATGCAGACGAGCCAAATGTACTGTTGCATTGCAAGAGCGTTTTACAACAACCTCACACGTTTCAATCTAACAAACTCCCGTGTTCGAACTAAACAACGTTTGCTTCTCGATGTTACTGTCCGTAAGACGAGCAAGTGGAGAAGAGGGTAGGGCTTTTGGAAGGTCAGTCTTGAAAACCACCAGTCCCTCTTCGTGAAGGTTGAATTCGTTGTCCAGTTTGAAGGTGGGAGAAGAGGAGAGGGAATGAAGGTTAATTCTTGTGCTTCTGGCCAATGTTTGGGGTACAAGGCTGCATTTGATATTTGGTAACCTTGTCTTTTGTTGTAAAGACCGGTTCAGACACTTGCGTTTGAGTGCGTTTGACTGCGTTGCGTCGAGAACCGAAAGCGAGTCACCGGCACAACTGTGCTTCGTATGAAGCGTGGTATTTAATTCAAGGAATCATCTTGGCTCGCGATATAAGCAGCAGGGATGTCCGGGTTTCTCGCAGCCGCAACGCAGTCAAACGCAGTCAAACGCAACTGTCTGAACCAGGCTTTATTTGTAGGTTTCTTTGTTGAAGTTCAGTGACTTCTGCGGTCGGCCTGAGATTTCTGGCTGCATGAGGATTCGTGGAAGCGAAGAAAGTAGCTGAGTTTGCGACGTCCCTTTCACTGTGTTTTCCTGTAACTAAATGTTTTTATTTCTGTACCGCAGTCTCGGGCACTGAAAAAAGAATCAATGCTTACTTAGAGTGCCTTCATACACACGCGCGCTTTCGCTTGAGTGGTGACATCTCAGCCATTTTTCCGCCCATTCGTTTTTTTTATGCATTTTGAAGTGCGCGCAATCCGGTGTCACTCAGCTCGAGCGTCTAGCTTTGGCTAATACATAGGCGCCATTTTGCCGCCCAAGTCACGCACCGAGTGCGCGAGAGCGTCACGCACTGGCACATTCAGGGGAACAATGGATGTCTTCACCCTGAGACAGACAGACATGTAGGCACCCTATGCTTACTAGCTCTCCTGCACCCTACTGTTACCAAGCGAGGACCCCACAAAATAAACCCTAAGTAACAAAAAACTTAACGAGATCCTCCGCTTCGGAAATATATTGTTTTAATACTTTTTTTAGAATTCCCGTTTTGAAAATAACATAAAACGACCCCACTGGACGAAGAAAAAGGAACCCTGTTCCTTCTTCCGTTTCCGTTAAGATGAAACAAGTTCCCGTTCCGGTTCCACCGACGCAAAATGGAACGGCGGCGTTCCTTCGTTCCTCATAAAAGGAACGCGTTCCAGGAACGCCGTTCCTTGGAACGCCGTTCCGTACAACACTGAAGATTGGTGATGGTGTAGGGCAGTGTGGGGAAAACGGGAGGGGAACAGTTCTCTCATCACCCTCTCCCGCCCTTTCCGAGGGAGAGCTAGAGTACTTGGACCAGGCCGAGCGACCTTGTAAGCAACCCGTTTCGAGGCCGTCGGTGCCACTGTGGTCGACGCGTTTTTTTCCCCGTACGGGGGAAGGGCGCTCCAATTCTTTCGTTTGTCTCTCCTGGTATTTGCGTGCCGGGTATCCAAAAATACCAATGTGGTAGAGATTGCTTAGACACGACAGCTCTAGAGCAAGAAGACAAAACGATCTGGCAGACACGACGCTCCGAACTCAGCTTGAAGCCTAATGTCAAAATTAAAAAGAGA